TCGCCCACACTTAGAAGTTCTCGCACTCTTATTAACGCCCGGGAACATTACCGAACAGTTCGGTACATACAACACCAACATTGTTTTAAATCGGAGGTAAACATGGTTGACATTACAATATTTACACTGGAAGTCTGGAAGAAATGGCCATGGGTGTGACTTGTGTGGCTTAACTTTTAGGCCTGTTCCAACATCCAATTTTTCGACCCCGTATATCTTCAGATATCGAATTTTTAAAGCACTTGTTTTTCTGAAATTCGATAACTCGAGATATCCATTCCATAAAAAAAAATCTCCCAGAAGTAGAGATTGAATCTTTGAATAATAGAAAATAAGCCTAAAAAGCCCTATTTTGCACGAATTACAGATTTTTGAGATCTGGCGCCAGTTTGGTTATTTGTCTTTTACCAAAAATACCCCCCCCAAAAAAACGATTTCTCACATTCGATATCGAATTGCTGCCGAATAACCGAGGTCACCTCGGTGGATATTCGGTGGTCGAATTTCCATTATCTTTTCTTGACAAATATTCGACCCAAAAATCGATAATTCAAAATATATACTGGAAAAAATCGATGATGGAACGGGCCTTAGGCTCTTGGTTTTTGTTTTGTAAAAAAAAACAAAATATATACAAAGTTCAGAAGGCTATGATACAATACGAATGTTTTCAGTTGCAGAGTTTCTTCGTGATGGACAGTCGGCTATTGCAGCATCTACGTATTTTTAGATAACTATTATCTGTTAATATGTATATGCAAGGGTTTCCACGCATGTATGAATATATGAACAACTATTATCTGTTATCAATATGTATCTGCAGAGGTTTCCACGTATTGAGCATATTAAAATACTGCATCATCCCCAGTAGGATGAAATCTAGAGTGCTCGCCTGTAGTTTGAATTTGAATGTCCAGGTTTCACGGTTCAAGGTTGACTTGGTGTTGACCATATATATATAAATAATTCTAATACACATATCCATATACTCGTGACAGATTCTAGTATTATACGTATATGTGCATGTTTTTTTTACATTGTTCGAAGTAGGCTTTGGGATTTTGCTCTTCATATGTTGATATACAGTCCAATAGCTAATAATAACAAGTTTTTGCGTATTGTAGTATACCGTACTCGTTTAGGCTCGTATTTATGACGGCGAGTCGAACAAGCTGTGCGAGAGTTAGCGCATGAATACAGTCCCCTTCATATTCATAAGATTTTGATTGTGAGATCCATGTATGTGGTATGGTTGTTCATCTTCACACATAAACAAAGTGTGTAAGGGCATATAGAAATAGCAGTCCTCGATTTTTCATGCATGTATGTTTTAACCAATTTTATTAATTGAGTTTTAAAAACTATTAGCAACAGCACACGTTGGTAGTAGATATGCAAGCCGTCATGTATTCACTTTCAGCTGCATATCCAAATGATACTCGCGGGACACTGGGGTCGGTGCACTCGGAAAGCTTTACTTAGTATTGCCGCAAAGATACCTGTCACAAAACCACAGAGTATGAGCAATCGCATTCGAAGAAGTGTTCGATTGGCGCTGTGCTTTAAAGTGGCTCAGCGTTTCAGCCGAGTTTCTTGTCAGGGCTGTCATGGGATAAACCTACAGCAATGAGCAGCTTGCATGTTGTACGATATTCCTGCAAGTCACTTTCAGCCTCACAATATTCAAGCACAGTCTAATTTTTATTATTGTTTCAGCGCATAGGTGGCTATACCCACCTTATGTGCCCACGCTCAATTTATCTCCACCTTTCTTACGTAAACAGATACTACTGCCTGTACTCAACTCTACATACGGGTGGTTCATACGCCTATAGTCCACCACCGCTCTCCTTCCTTCTGGCCCCTTTGTTCAATTAATTCGTTACTTTCCGTCGACTGCGTGGTCACCCGATCATGGTACAGAGGACCGTTTATGCACATGGTATGGTACTCTCCCCTTTCTCCACCCAAGTCTAAGGGTTTAGAATCTGGGCTGCCCTCAGGCGGTTTTAGTGCCATTTGCTCCATTTCTCTTACTATCTCGGGGGATAGTGATCGCCCTGTAATAGGTAATTATGTTTGATATCAGGGAAAGCACAGAAAACTTTATTCAATCAAATATTAATACGTAAATAGGGCGTTTGTATAGTCTTTTTACATTCTGAGCAGATATATGTTCTGTAGATCGGAGCTGTGTGCATACCTATGTACGCGATACGAAGCTTCAGTGTACTATTCAAAGCCATACTAAAAATTGTACTGTTGTATGTGAGAGCGAATTGCTCAACACCAGACTGCTAGAGACACATGTAGTTGCTAATGTATACCACAGGTGCTGTGTTGCAGTCACAGCCCATATCCGCTTGTGATATTCGAATAGTACATTTTCACAGTTAGCAATGCGGTAGAAGGTACACGCAGGCATCTAATAGTCATGTATACATGTGTATTGTACGGTACGAATCAACTGGATAGCCAGTTCGACTTCGGTAGTGTGTGAAGCCATTGTCAATGGCCCTGTCTGCACGTATACGATTCGTATTCTGGCGAAGCGGGACTACATCCACTGAAAGACTACACTTTAAATCACAGAAAGCCTTCACAAACACAACCTTGACGTGTACGAAAGTTTCAACGCATACGTATACCAACAATTAGATGACTTTGCATGAGTC